GGAAGAACACCTTAAAACCATCATTCAACATTTAGAAGAAGGAAAGAGCCTTGAGAATCTTGGATACAATGACGGATGTTTATTTAAAGGTAATAGAGTTGTCGTTCCAAAAAATTTGAAATCAAAAGTACTTACAGAAATTCATTTTGGTCACTTGGGAATAGTTAAAATGAAGGCTTTAGCAAGAAGCTACTGCTATTGGCAAGGCATCGATCATGATATTGAACATCTGGCTAAGACTTGTAAACAGTGTTGTTTAAAACAAAACAAACCACCTCAAACGACTCCTCATCCATGGCAAACCCCTGATGGTCCCTGGCAAAGAATACATATAGATTTTGCTGGGCCTTGTTTTGGAAACAATTATTTTTTTATTGTCGTTGACGCTTACACAAAATGGGTCGAGGTATTTCAAACAAAAAATACTTCTTCTGAATGGTGTGTCACAAAATTAAGACAATTGTTTTCTACATTTGGAATTCCACTTACTTTAGTGACAGATAATGGCAGACAATTTTGTGGACATACTTTTGAAACATTTTTGAAAAACTACGGTGTGTTACACAAGACAAGTGCTCCATTCCACCCTTCTTCCAACGGTCAAGCGGAGAGATTTGTCCAAACTATAAAGAAAGGTCTACAAGCCATGAAAGATGAAGGAGGGAATATGGAAATTAAGTTACAGAGATTCTTGATGCAAATGAGACAATCAAGAAACTCCACTGGATCAAATTCTTACTTCCTAATGTTTCAGAGAAATGTGAGAACGAGACTAGATTTGATGATAACAAATAACACACCTTCAAACAGTGACTTTAAATGTGCAAAGGGAATAAGAGACTTTAAAAAGGGGGAAAGAGTTCAAGCTTATGATTTCAGAGACAAGAAAAACAAGTGGATGTTTGGTAAAGTAAAGAGCAAGGATGGACAGTTAATTTACGTTCTTGAAATGGATGATGGATCTATATGGAGGCGGCATATCAACCACATGTTACCTTCTAAATTTAAGGGGGAGGATTGATGTGTCCATTCCAAATGTACTGGCTTATACTATATTTGTTAATTTACATATGTTCTGTTCAGTTGTTATTGTTTATATGATGATTGTGATTAAATAAAAAAAACTTGAGTTACTGCATTAAAATGTTACATTACTAAAATATCTATCAGGTTGTAATGTAAACTTTGGCTACATGGCCTTGTTTTAAACATGAAGTGCAATGAAGTGATGACTTGCTAGTGCGACACTCAGTTGCACGGTGATTATTTTAGCTGCATTGTAAACAAAGATCGCTAACGTAATCTACTTTTGACTTAGAACGACTCTTCTGAAGCTTTGTGCCTAGATTTGAAAGCTTATTAATGTCTACTTCAGTTGAAAATTGATTCTCGATTCCGATTCTATTATGTTAAAAACATTTCCTGCGGTCGTGTAGGCATTACTTTACCTGAATGGATATAGGTCATTGTCTTCCATGACCCAGGCAAAAGCAGAACAACCACCGCAGTAACGGAACATCAGCATCGTCTTCCACAATCGCGGCAAAATTTTTTTCATTTCCTGCGGTTGTGTAGACATCATAATTGTCTCCCGCAGTGGCCGTAGTCTCATCAAAACCCCAAATAACCCCCAAGGTAACAGAACATCAGTATCATAAAGCCTACTATTCACTGGATGAATTTTTGGAGAACCCTATGGTGTAGATAAAAATTCTCCGATATCCTACATGAGTTTAACAGAGTAAAATTATTTTAACTAGGCTATTAATTTCATTATTAGATTCATCACTATGGCGAAACACCTATTCTTACGTTTCAATTGTACTTTATAAAGAACGTTTTGAGTATAATAAAATATGTCTATGTCTATCATCTTACACGATCGCGGCAAAATCATGAACATCTCCCACAGACCTGTAGACATTGTCGTCGTCTTCCACGATCACAGCTGAATTGTGACCATTAGACGAATAACTCCGTAACACAAGACAAAAAAGTTATTATAAGTTAGTCGGCCCCATATTTTCCTAAATTAGTGTCCAGCCACATCTGTGCTGTTTTATTACACATATAACAATACATATAAAAAATGCATGGTACTTTTATTGATTCTCGTGTTTACAGTTACAACTTTATTCTATTCAAAAATTACTAAGTGAACTGGAAAACCATGCTAAAATTTTTGACTTTTAGCAGATTACATGGCTAGAAAAGATTTTACATTTGATCGGGCCGGTCCCCCGGCCCCCCCCTTCCCCACCCTCTAGCCGGCCCTGCATAGTTTACAAGTCATAGAACGCCACCAAGTAGAAGAAATAGAGATTATGTTGTTAAAAAGAATTTACTATCGTTATTAGCCTATAATAAAGAACACCTGCAATATGAAGATTCCTGCAAACAATGAACGAGGATGTTAGGCCAAAGTGCTACCATTTTTAGTAGGAAACGAGGGACTTTACTTTGTTATCATTGCAGAGGAAACCCCTCTAAAGCTAAATAAAACTGGTTCGGCAAGGACATTTATGTTTAATAAAAGTCAAGTGATTTTAGAAGAATATGACTACCTCCAAGAAACCCTAAGTAAAACTTTCTTTGAAGGATTCAACTATTATTCACAGTTAAGGGGGAAAAAACCATATGAACAACATCAGGCCTTTTAACTTTGCATTTTCCCAGGTAAATATAGTAGACTAGCAGAGCAACCGTCCTTTGTACGGGGTTGGCATATGAGTATAAAATGCTTATTGCAGTTATACTCAAGCTTTGCGTTTGCAATGGGGGGAGGACACAGTTTGATAAAATTTTGTTCATAAATTTACGGTATGATAAAAAATAGAAAAAAATAAATTATCAAACATTCACACAATACCTCAAATTATTCATTAAATTAAAAACTCAAACCTAACTGAGTAACTGTAAACAATCCTACTTTGAGTGTCCTCATTGTGTATCACAGCTTTTTGTTGTTCCTTAGTTCAAATTAGCTGTTGTCATATACTGTATGCTAAAACAAAATAATAATAGTGCTGCACCCTGTTGGGAAACCTTTTAAATTTTTAATCCTAATGCATATTATCATAGACTAACCAACACAAGTAGACTTCTCATCCCATTGTAAATTTTGAAGCACGTTTTTCGTGTCTAGTTCATGTACGTGACACATGGGCGCTAGTGTCGACGAAACTTTGTTTCTATTATTTTAGGGTTAATTTCTTGATTTGTGTTTTACTGTTTGGTTATATAACCAGGGGACAAGTTATTGTTTATGATTAGATCGTATTATTTGGTTGAACGAGGTTTTAAATGGCTGTAATAACAGGAAACAAATTGTAAACAAAACACGACCTCTGCATAAACCGTACAGGAACTAACAATAAAATTGTCTTCAGCTGTTCCATAAGGATGAGAAATCTACTAAGGGAGTATGTTTTATCTATGATATTATAGAACCAACTTGTAAAGTTGAACCAGCTGACTAAATTCTTTAATTCCCTTTAAATATGAATACTCATAAGGTTACCATGGGGTACAGAGCCACTGGGGCGGAGCCCGAAAGCATTTTTGAGATAAGAATATACCTAAATGTTAATCGGGAATGTAAACTATCATCATGCCAAATTTCAGCCCAATCCGTCCAGTAGTTTATGCGTGATTGAGCAACACACAAACTCTCAGGTTTATAATATTAGTAAGATAAGATGTTATTACATTAACTAACCAAAGTATTGCCAATTGAAGCAAATAAAATTGTGACCAACAGGTTATGCTGGAAATCAGGTATTTTTTAAGTAATGTGAACAAATGTTCGCTATTAAAAAAATGACTTGAAATTTGTAAACATACTGGCGACAATGGGTGGCCATGCAGGCTACATTATCAATGACGAAGATAAACATGGACAACATAATGCGGCTGTGAGTGGGAAACTTTTTTTGGAAAATACTAAAAACGAGATCAGATTTTTAAAAACTATAAGATATTTACAAGAAATGTTGATTATATTGAACTGTCATGAACATCGTAAGTATTTCCATTAGTTACATAATCTTTGAGTTGACTCTTAAACTCATCAGAAATTATGACTGTTGTTCTTTTTCAAGCAACTCCTGAAATGCTTTGCAGTTGCTCGATTTTAAGCAACATGTACACTAGTAGATTAATTATTTTACCTGTATTTGGTGTGCAACTTGCATCTGAAAATACTTGCAAATACTTTTTGTTGGCATATGGAGATCCGTCCATACTGTGCCCATGGGCTTTAGCAAATAAAAAGGTGTAGTAGAAATTTTATTAGACTTGCATGTGTCTTATATTTAATCAACCATATTTGAGAGCAGTGGAAGAATATTAAAAATTTTATTGAGATTGATTTTCTTGAATTTTATACTTTTTGAGTTTCTACTGTTAATATTTTTAATGTAACTCTGGTAACCTCCAAAACATGGACTAAGCATGTATGTATGTACCCTGTGCCACATTTTAAAGATAGCCAGAATAATGTTACAGATTAAGAAGGATAGCAGCTAGCTTACCTTGAAGAAGTGTAGGTAGGCTCAGAGACCCAGTGTACTCAATATTTCGTCCCCTGGGAAACTTTGTCAAGTGTAGCATCAAGCTTCCCAAGAGGACGAAATATTGTGTGCACTGGATCTCTTCTGTGTGCTCTATAGCCTACCAACACTTCTTCAAGGTAAGCTAGCTGCTATCCTTCTTGCTATATAATTCAAAATCCTGGCCTAGAGCCTTTCCTTGAATAAGAATAATGTTAAATTATATGGGACAAACACAGATAAGTTTGTTAGTGGTCTTGTACAGCCACATGGGGGAGCTGAGGGCTTACTTTGCATTTACCCTCCTCTTAACCTTTGGCCCATGCGTAGAGCACATCAAGCAATGGATTCATTGTAGATTGGGCTACAACTAAGCCACCAACTCACTAAATGAAAACCACTTATGATAAAACTGGAATTAAACTAACCTTTCAAGGGAAAAAACTAGAGTTGAGAATTCAAAATTTAATTACAAACTTACAAAATGAAAACAATTTTATCTCTCAGGTGACGCATTAAAAGCAGTTTTTACCATTTTCTGGAGATGATCGGCGTGCTCTTTCGCTTTTGAGAAACAAGTTTCCAGCTGAGCCTGTGTTACAGGGCTACCACCTAAACAAACCATTTAAGTTTAAATTATCATTTAAGTCTAACCATCGTATTATTATCTAAAAAAAAAAAGTTACAATATAAATTTACAAAGAATAATATAAAACTTGTGGTTATTTCACTCTACAGTAAAACAGCAACTAACCAAAATAAAGGGGATTTTTGGATTACCAATTTGGTTATTGAATGGTTGGGCTTTAATGGTACATATATTTCGTACCTAGGGCCAAACATGAGGTTTTGCCGGCTCGAGATACGATGGAGAGCTGCAAAACCATTTTGGTCTGTGGTACGAAAGCTATTTTTCACTACACTATACCCTGTTACCACTATTCACCACAATAATAATGAACAATAGTCAACACAACAACAACTTTAATATTATATGAAGAAATAATTTGAGGAATCAGCAAAAATAATAATAAATAGTTGCAATAAAACAATTCTGTATTTAAATTCATTGTTAAGCCCCTGAGCTGTAGATATTATTGTAAGACTAGATTACTTACGTCAATAGCTCATTGAATCGTGAATTTCACTTCATGTTTCAGTACATGTTTTGACACATTGACACAATGTGTCAATCGTCAATCGTGAATTTCACTTCATGTTTCAGTACATGTTTCGACACATTGTGTCAATGTGTCGAAACATGTACTGAAACATGAAGTGAAATTCACGATTCAATGAGCTATTGACGTAAGTAATCTAGTCTTACAACAATTCTGTGGCAATGCTAGGGATTGTGTATTTAATATGCATTAATGTTTTAAGAAAGTAAGCCGGCAGCTAATTTTCAGCCCTAGGGATGTAAAAACTTCCTCGGTCCCAAAATGACGATGACAGCTGGCATGGACAGCAATACGTAGCTTTCGGCCTCCAATAAACGTTTGTAAAACGGCTAAAAACATCGTAGTGTGGTGAAAAGGACTATTTCAATTTAGAATATTTACAACAGCAGTTTTTGGAATATTTTAATAACTGTAATCTTATAAAATAATCGACAGTTATTTTTTTAGCTTTATTTCTTCACGGTATGAGAAATGCCTGTCGTCTGCTCAGTTACGTTACGCCACTCCAGAGGATTTCAGTCAAGTAGCTAATAATACTGCTTGGTAACAATTTTTTACAATGGTTTCAGTTAACTCAGTTTTTTATTTAATTAGGTGCGGTTAAAGGTGTTTTACTGTATATCCATGGCACTTCAGATAATAGTACATTAGTAGTAATTTAGTATACATTTGTGATATTTTATAGTTTTTCAAATAAACGTTTTAAAAATAAATGGAATCTAGTATTTTTGCCTTTCAGTTTAGAAACTAAACCAACCATATTTATATCCTAGGTGAATTCATTTATGTTCCATTTAATGATTCAACAATGTCCTGGGTTAAATTATATTCGTCAACATATTTTAGAGATCAACAGTCTTCAAGTCTTTGAGCTTATGATAAGCACAAAGCAGTAAGGCACAGAGGACACACGCTTATGGGACAACCGTGTGCTTTCAGCTCTGGTATTTAGGGGTGGAAATATACTTCTGAAGAACCCGAACGGCGAGCACTGTGCGGAAATTCCTTGTAGTTGCCAATACACGCCCTTCACTTGTATGTGATATCACGGACAATGTCAGTAATAATTAAAATCAGAAATAGCAAAAGTAAGGTTTGTTTCAACAAAAGAAAAGAGCTTGTGTTTATTACAAACCAAAACAGAAAACAAAACTTTATTTACTTCTCTGTGGGATAAGAAACAAATATTATGAAGTTCAATATTCAATTCAAGGACCTGTGTTTCTTTTGTGGTCTTCTGTAGTTTAAATCTTCAAGAAATGATCTTCAGAGTAAGAACAAAAGGTAAGGGGTATCTTTTAGAAAAACTCAATCATTGAAATAACAAGTTCTTCTGGAAAGATTAACTACTTATCTATTGTAGGCCTGATGATTATCATGTTAGGATTGACACTAAAATAGTAGACCAACGACTATTGAATGATTAAAAAGTACAAGTATATTGAAACAGTTTTTAACATAAATCAACTGATTCGGAGGCAATCAAAATGAAATCAGAAGATACTTCAGCTATTTTAAAAGCACTGAAACCAGACATGAAAATGTATATAGCATATTTTACTAACCAGGTTTGTGTATGGAGCTCATCTTGCCGTCTTGAACCATGATAGTGATTACTCCAGTGCCAAACCTCTCCTCCTCATCATTGGGATCTGCCAAGATCTGGTGTCTACAGACAACATACAAGGATGAATAACAACATTACAGTATGATAGTGATGACTCCAGTGCCAAACCTCTCCTCCTCATCATTGGGATCTGCCAAGATCTGGTGTCTACAGACAACATACAAGGATGAATAACAACATTACAGTATGATAGTGATGACTCCAGTGCCAAACCTCTACTCCTCATCATTGGGATCTGCCAAGATCTGGTGTCTACAGACAACATAACAGGATTAATAGCAACATTGCAGTATGATAGTGATTACTCCAGTGCCAAACTTCTCCTCCTCATCATTAGGATCTGCCAAGATCTGGTGTCTACAGACAACATAACAGGATTAATAACAACATTGCAACAAGATAGTGATGACTCCAGTGCCAAACCTCTCCTCCTCATCATTGGGATCTGCCAAGATCTGGTGTCTACAGACAACATTCAAGGATGAATAACAACATTACAGTATGATAGTGATTACTCCAGTGCCAAATTTCTCCTCCTCATCATTGGGATCTGCCAAGATCTGGTGTCTACAGACAACATACAAGGATGAATAACAACATTACAGTATGATAGTGATGACTCCAGTGCCAAACCTCTCCTCCTCATCATTGGGATCTGCCAAGATCTGGTGTCTACAGACAACATACAAGGATGAATAACAACATTACAGTATGATAGTGATGACTCCAGTGCCAAACCTCTCCTCCTCATCATTGGGATCTGCCAAGATCTGGTGTCTACAGACAACATAACAGGATTAATAGCAACATTGCAGTATGATAGTGATTACTCCAGTGCCAAACTTCTCCCCCTCATCATTAGGATCTGCCAAGATCTGGTGTCTACAGACAACATAACAGGATTAATAGCAACATTGCAGTATGATAATGATGACTCCAGTGCCAAACTTCTCCCCCTCATCATTGGGAACTGCCAAGATCTGGTGTCTACAGACAACATACAAGGATAAATAACAACATTACAGTATGATAGTGATGACTCCAGTGCCAAACCTCTCCTCCTCATCATTGGGATCTGCCAAGATCTGGTGTCTACAGACAACATACAAGGATGAATAACAACATTACAGTATGATAGTGATTACTCCAGTGCCAAACTTCTCCTCCTCATCATTGGGATCTGCCAAGATCTGGTGTCTACAGACAACATACAAGGATGAATAACAACATTACAGTATGATAGTGATGACTCCAGTGCCAAACCTCTCCTCCTCATCATTGGGATCTGCCAAGATCTGGTGTCTACAGACAACATACAAGGATGAATAACAACATTACAGTATGATAGTGATGACTCCAGTGCCAAACCTCTCCTCCTCATCATTGGGATCTGCCAAGATCTGGTGTCTACAGACAACATACAAGGATGAATAACAACATTACAGTATGATAGTGATGACTCCAGTGCCAAACCTCTCCTCCTCATCATTGGGATCTGCCAAGATCTGGTGTCTACAGACAACATACAAGGATGAATAACAACATTACAGTATGATAGTGATTACTCCAGTGCCAAACTTCTCCTCCTCATCATTGGGATCTGCCAAGATCTGGTGTCTACAGACAACATACAAGGATGAATAACAACATTACAGTATGATAGTGATTACTCCAGTGCCAAACTTCTCCTCCTCATCATTGGGATCTGCCAAGATCTGGTGTCTACAGACAACATTCAAGGATGAATAACAACATTACAGTATGATAGTGATTACTCCAGTGCCAAACTTCTCCTCCTCATCATTGGGATCTGCCAAGATCTGGTGTCTACAGACAACATACAAGGATGAATAACAACATTACAGTATGATAGTGATTACTCCAGTGCCAAACTTCTCCTCCTCATCATTGGGATCTGCCCAGATCTGGAGTCTACAGACAACATAAAAGGATGAATAACAACATTGCAACAAGATAGTGATGACTCCAGTGCCAAACCTCTCCTCCTCATCATTGGGATCTGCCAAGATCTGGTGTCTACAGACAACATACAAGGATGAATAACAACATTACAGTATGATAGTGATTACTCCAGTGCCAAACTTCTCCTCCTCATCATTAGGATCTGCCAAGATCTGGTGTCTACAGACAACATTCAAGGATGAATAACAACATTACAGTATGATAGTGATTACTCCAGTGCCAAACTTCTCCTCCTCATCATTGGGATCTGCCAAGATCTGGTGTCTACAGACAACATTCAAGGATGAATAACAACATTACAGTATGATAGTGATTACTCCAGTGCCAAACCTCTCCTCCTCATCATTGGGATCTGCCAAGATCTGGTGTCTACAGACAACATACAAGGATGAATAACAACATTACAGTATGATAGTGATTACTCCAGTGCCAAACTTCTCCTCCTCATCATTGGGATCTGCCAAGATCTGGTGTCTACAGACAACATTCAAGGATGAATAACAACATTACAGTATGATAGTGATTACTCCAGTGCCAAACCTCTCCTCCTCATCATTGGGATCTGCCAAGATCTGGTGTCTACATACAACATACAAGGATGAATAACAACATTACAGTATGATAGTGATTACTCCAGTGCCAAACTTCTCCTCCTCATCATTGGGATCTGCCAAGATCTGGTGTCTACAGACAACATAAAAGGATGAATAACAACATTGCAACAAGATAGTGATGACTCCAGTGCCAAACCTCTCCTCCTCATCATTGGGATCTGCCAAGATCTGGTGTCTACAGACAACATACAAGGATGAATAACAACATTGCAACAAGATAGTGATGACTCCAGTGCCAAACCTCTCCTCCTCATCATTGGGATCTGCCAAGATCTGGTGTCTACAGACAACATACAAGGATGAATAACAACATTACAGTATGATAGTGATTACTCCAGTGCCAAATTTCTCCTCCTCATCATTGGGATCTGCCAAGATCTGGTGTCTACAGACAACATACAAGGATGAATAACAACATTACAGTATGATAGTGATTACTCCAGTGCCAAACTTCTCCTCCTCATCATTGGGATCTGCCAAGATCTGGTGTCTACAGATCACGTAACAGGATGAATAACAATATTTCATCAAGATAGTGATGACTCCAGTGCCAAACTTCTCCCCCTAATCATTGGGATCTGACAAGATCTGGTGTCTACAGACAACATAACAGGATGAATAACAACATTGCAACAAGATAGTGATGACTCCAATGCCAAACCTCTCCTCCCATCATTGGGATCTGCCAAGATCTGGTGTCTACAGACAACATACAAGGATGAATAACAACATAACAGTAAGATAGTGATTACTCCAGTGCCAAACTTCTCCCCCTCATCATTGGGATCTGCTAAGATTTGGTGTCTACAGATCACGTAACAGGGTGAATAACAACATTTCAGCAAGGCAACTATTGTCAAACTTTTAGCAGCAAACTCCTTGTACAATACTGCTAATGATTTCTTGAACTTGTTACGAAGACACCATAGCACAAACACCATTTTTAACCGACTTCCCCACTACCAACAAAAGGAGGAGGTTCTCAATTTGTTTGTGGCGATGTTTTTTTTTCTATGTATGTTCACCAATTTCTCTGTGATTCTTTTACCGATCAGTGTGGTTTCACCACCAAAATAACCAGGAGAGTTTCTATTTGGTACCTTATATATTATGTTTAAGTATAATATTTGTTTCGGTGAAAAATGCTGAAAACCACAAATATTCAACATTTATTTTGTTTACATTTGTGCAGATTGTTTACATTTGTGCAGTGAAGGCAATAAATAATAATAACATTCCTACAGCTGTTAGTTGAAAGCATTTAAATGCTACAGACAATTCTTCATGAAACAGTTGCTTCATATTGATCAATAAACAATTTCTTGCCATGGAGCCTAAATGAATTACATTGAGAAAAATTCATTTTGTATTGGTTACTATAAAAAATGTATTTTAACGTTTGACCTGATTTGTGTATATAGTAATTCTGTTTTTAGTATTGAATATTCTGACTTACAAAAACATATATGTTTCAGTGAATAGCTGTATGATATTGACAAATAAAGGTGTATTGTAAAAACCAAAGCATTCGTAAAACAGGTCTAAATATAAATTAAATGCAATTATTCCTTACACGACCTAAGAAGTGTGACAGTGCATAATCGTCAATTGTCTTAAAAGTGTTAAATATTTTAATTACTAAACATGCATTTGCAGATGTGGAATGTTTATTTATATTCTCTACCCAGTTACTATATCATATCAATACTATTATGCCTGCTTCGGAAAGTCCTAGAGGAAGATGATTTGCTATTTCGACTAGGCTATATCTTGATCAAACAAAACCACCTACATGGCTTACACCACTTTAAGCTGAACCAATCTTTCATATACATACAGGGTGGCTGAAAAGTAACTTGCACCCCCCTTTAACTTTTCAACCATTTGAGATATTTGAAATCGGTTTGCGGCAACCTTCTTAGATATGAGGGGTCACAATATTTATGGTCAATTTTGAAAATTTCGTCCTTAGGGGTGGCGGGGGTTGGGGGTAGCTCAAAATTTTCAAATGACAAGTATATTCAAGTTTGGTATCATTTTACAGGTCTTGACGAAACATGAACATTGACATAAAGAAAACCAAAATCGGCTCACTAATAACAAAATGGCGCCCTAAAACGTTTCAAATCCAAATAACCATGAGGGTGGCAAAAAAATTAACTTGCACCCTCTTTAACTTTTTAACAATTTGAGATATTTGAAATCAGTTTGCGGCAACTTGTTACTTTGCATAACCATTGTCTTAATCATTTTTAGCTGCCATTTTGTTATTAATGGTCCGATTTCTATTTTCTTTATGTTAATTGTTATGTTTCATCAAGACCTACAAAATGATACCAAACTCGACTATAGTTGTTATTTGAAAATTTTGAGCTACCCCCTACCCCCGCTATCCCTAAGGGAAAAATTTTCAAATCTGACCATAATTATTGTAGCCCTTCATTTCCAAACAAGTTGCCGCAAACCGATTTCAAATATCTCAAATTGTTAAAAAGTTAAAGAGGGTGCAAGTTAATTTTTTGCCACCCTCGTGGTTATTTGGATTTGAAACGTTTTAGGGCGCCATTTTGTTATTAGTGAGCCGATTTTGGGTTTCTTTATGTCAATGTTCATGTTTCGTCAAGACCTGTAAAATGATACCAAACTCGACTATTCTTGTCATTTGAAAATTTTGAGCTACCCCCTACCCCCGCTACCCCTAAGGGCAAAATTTTCAAAATAGACCATAATTATTGTAGCCCCTCATATCTAAGAAGGTTGCCGCAAACCGATTTCAAATATCTCAAATGGTTGAAAAGTTAAGTGGGGGTGCAAGTTACTTTTCAGCCACCCTGTATTTCATTTGCAGATGTGGAATGATTATTAATATTCTCTGCCCAGTTACTATAACAAATCAATACTATTATGCCTGCTTCGGAAAGTCCTAGAGGAAGATGATTTGCAATTTCGACTAGGCTATATCTTGAGCTAATAAAACCCCCTACATGGCTTACACCACTTTTAGCTGAACCAATCTATCATATAATATTTTCCAAAGGTACTATACGTGATAATGACCAATTTTCGACTTTTGAGAGTTTTTTTAGTGATGGTAGCTGAGGAATAACTTTCATATTGTTCCAAAAGGCTTGAGACGTTACTGTATTTCTTTTTATAATGTAGAAGTACACCGATTGCAGGAAATGATGATGTCTGACATTTCAATGTATCTAGAAAAGACAATTAGTTTTTCATTAGGCCTTATGTAATGGACAACTCTTTCTTTCTTAAGGAATATCTAAAAATGTTTATTTTTATACCCATTGATTATGTAACCTGAACAGGTGACTCAAGCAGTTTTAAAATAATGATTGTTCTGTGATTGTTTCAAACAGTTTTGCTTATAAAAAAACCTCAAGTAATTAATATATAAAAAATTATACAGTCACTAAAAATCATGAAATAATTTATTTTTGTAAAAAAATACAACCGACTTCAAACGCTCTAAAAAGAATGAAATAATTTCAATAAAGTAAACTTTTGTATTAGTCAAGCTCACGTATTTCAAGTTGGCGCGGCTCAAACTGGAAATATGATTAAAATTAAATATTGTGTGTGTATTTTGAAAATCAATAAATTGTAGATGGATAACATAAATATATAAAAAACATACTGAACTGTTTTGTTTATATATCAAAGGAAATATTTTCTTGTATTTTATGTTTACTTCAGAATAAATGCATTATGAAAATAACACACACAAATGTTCTATATGAATAGGAAAATAATTTAGTTTGATATTATGATAGGGAAAATAAGTTAGTTTAGTATTAAAACGTTACATTTCCAAGTTAGAAACATTTAAATGCGTTATAATCTTTTTAAAGATACTCGTTAATACCACTATAATGCCGATCTCTGATTACGGTAATAAAATAACACTTAACGCATAACTATGAAAAAGACATACAGATTAACACCTTTAGTTATAGATAGTCACCTGCAATATGGACACCCTCTTTCAATTTTGTATCAAAAATCATCATAGAGCCGCGCCGACTTAAAATACGTGAGCTTGACTAATACAAAAGTTTACTTTATTGAAATTATTTCATTCTTTTTAGAGCGTTTGAAGTCGGTTGTATTTTTTTACAAAAATAAATTATATTATTTGTAATAAAACCGATGGTTCTGGAAAAAACACACTGTACCCCTACAAAGTTTGCCAATTAGGGACTACACTTTAACTTCTTCAGCAACCGCTAGCTTCACGTCCTCAATTTCCAGTTAGCTTAACTGACAACCTCCTTTGAACTTCTTATCTACTAGTGCTACAAACTTATTTGGTAAAGCCTTTAAAGAATCCAAATTACAGGTGATGAGGCCTACATTAAACTAAAAAGAACAAAGTAATATAATTGTTATGCCAATCCTCCAGATTGTGAGGACAATGTTAACAAAAAAACATTGGTCTGTATGGTCTGTAAGATAGAGAGATTACTCACGAGTCAAATATGGCAAAGGTGGTCGCCACAGGGAATGTATCCACTTGTAGAGGTTTTCTCACCGAGTCGTTTACTGAGATGGCTTGGGTCTCTGGGTTATACTCCACTTCAGGCAATGTGACTAAGCCAAACATTATACACTTCAATAGTACAAAATCACAAATTGAGAACAGCAAAATAGTTGCACAAATCAGCTATGAAGCTATTCCCTTTTATTTATATCACATGATTTCTACTGCATATGTTTGGTAAATAACAAAATCAAACCCAAACAGGAGAGTAAATAAAATAGCATGGGTTAATGGGTTATAGCCAATGGTATAACCAATGACCATTGGAATTACCATTGACTATTATTATTGTTACCTACATTAAACAATTTAATTTCAAAAGTCTAAAGTCTTGAAAGGGTAGTTGTTGAAAGGGGGTAGTTTATTAAACTACCATATTTGCAAACCAAAATGTGAAATTAAGAACATTATGTGTTTAACTTTTGCTATCCAGTTGTATGAAAACTTCCCTGATTTTCAATTAATTGAGATATTTGCTATGCCGTAGAATGCTGAAGCGTTAGAAGAAGTAAATTGTTATAACAGCACTGACAAATAATTATTACTCATCATAACAGTTGTCCTCAAGTGTAGGAAAGTGGTGTATTGGTATGTTCATTACATTATTATTAGAAAGTTAAACCAAGAAAATGTATTGATTTTCAATTACACTCACAGTATTGAAAATACTATTAACTAAGTGTTATATGGATCGCAGGTCGAGGTTCGTTAAATGATAATCATGTTAATGTGGGCATGGGTTTATTCAAAGTGGCGGAGACACTCAATCTAGGTCGACCAATACAGTTCAAACTCAGTACAATCCAAGTAACGATACAACAATAGTAAAGTCTACTATAAGAGTAATATTATAAAATAACATACTGTGACACTAAGTCATTGCATATAACTTTAAACTCTGAAAACCAAACATTGTTGTGTAGAATGAAGTAAACAACAAAACCAAACTATATTCTTACCAGTTTTAAGAGCGGCTACAAGAGTGAGAACACAAGCGTCGATAACTGCACCGTCATGGTTTAGACATACAAAGTCACAATAAAGAACCCAAGCTAACTTGTCTGGACAGATACACAGCTGTCTGAAACATACAAATACGTTTGTTATGACATAAAATAATCATCATAGTGGCGGAGACACTCAATCTAGGTCGACCAATACAGTTCAAACTCAGTACAATCCAAGTAACGATACAACAATAGTACAGTCTACTATAAGAGTAATATTATAAAATAAAGTCCCAGAACGGTGTAATATATTTTTTACCGTTGTGGACAAAGTAGTGAGACTTGGTATATCAATTGTAGCCATAAATATCTACTCTTATAAGCTATTATCACTGTATTATCCCTTAACACGTTCGCTACTAAGCGTCGCATATATGCGACGCCGCGGTCATTGCCACAGACCGAGGTATACATTTCAATCTTACACATAGACCGGCTGTCACTTGGATAACAGTACACACAGACCACGGGCGAAAACCTGTAAAACAGTGATCATTTACATTGTAATACGCTACAATCGTGTTTGTAAATAAATTGTTCTTGTTTTTTTGTATTTTTTATAACCTTTTGTAATGTCGCATATTTGCGACACCCGGTCTACAGCGAAAACAATAGTGAAAATTATCATAGTTTTCTTGAAATAGACTAAACGTCGCATATATGCGACGGCTCATTTTTTTGAGTTTTAAGGTGAAAGTAAGAAAAAAAATAAACAGATTATTCAAGAACAGTTTACAACTGAACAAATATAAAAGCTACATAGGATAATGCAGCATACATACTGCATACATACAGTGATGCAGAAAAGTAAAGACCAGTTTTTCCTACTATTATATGACGTCACCAATCATCATATCCACAGACCAAGCGACGCAGTTGTGCGTCAGACATCTCTGTAGACCACTGCAGGGAATTCAGTGCCTTCAAATAGACCACTAAAAAGATATAAGCATTTTAATAACATTAGAACCCCGACGCAAATATGCGTCGGCAGTCTATTATAATGTGACTAGCCGTCGCATATATGCGACGGCAGTCTATGGGTAGAAACCGGCCGTCGCATATGTGCGTCGCTGGTCCATGTGAATGGAAAATTTCGTACCATTGCAGTAGCGAACGTGTTAAGGGGGACGGTCCCAAGGAGTCAGAGAAAATAGCAGCATACGTCAAGTTTGGTATCAAATTAAAGGTCTTAAATAGTAAAATACGTTGCCGCAAACCCAAACTCAAACAGACAACCAAGTGAAAAAAAGACAGCCGTTGAAATATTTCTTGAATCTGCCAATTTGAATATTTGAACGGTATACGATTTTTTACTGAATACCTAACTCATTTTGCATTTTGCAAGCTCATTTTATGACATTATATTCTACTAATAAAGACCTTTAATTTGATCTGCATATCGACGTATGTTTACATTTACAATTTCTATCAACTTCTAGCCTGCAGTTCCTGAGGATGTAGTGTATAATAAGCATTGCAAATTCAACCAATCTCTAAACAGCTGTCATTTTCGACTCTGTAGTCAGTTTGAATTTGGGTTTGCGGGAATGTGCTCTACTAACTAAGACCTTGAATTTGATACCAAACTTGACCTATGCTGCTATTTGAACATTTTGACTGACTCCTCATGGGCTGTTCCTCTTTAGGGATAAAAAAGTGATATAGCTTAAAAGAGTAGACATTTATGGCTATAACTGATATATCAAGTCCCAATACTCTGTCTAATGGTAAAAAATGTATTACACCGTCCCGGGACTTATCAATCACACTGTATAAATAAGGTTAAGGTACGAGTATTAAAAGGCCAATGATCAAGGGCAGCTGGGCCTAGGTTTTGAACTATCAAAAAGCTTATGACTCTTCTCAGGATCGAAGTCAAGCACCCTAACTACTCAGCTACTATATATATATATATATATATATATATATATAAATTTTTATTTTCCAGCTTTGGCTGAGTTTGTACACTAATTTTGTTATGAATTAATTTCTCTCTTGGGTTCGTGGTCAGATTCCTGATCCAGAAACATCATTTTACATTTTGCTTTAATAATCATGATAGAAAATGTCCGCAATATTTGACTTACCTAGTATCTACAACTTGGCTGGAGGTAAGGAGACGGTCCATAAAGCCACTGCACACCTGGGCATCATCACTGGGAGGACCAGGTTTTAGCTGAGAAGAACAGAGAGCTGGGAGTTCAACATTGGCCACAATCTGGCCCCTGTCTGGCTCTTCTGCCTTGGGAGTGAACAGCTCCTACAGACATATTGCGCTCTCAAGATAATAGGCATGACCACCTTTAATTGTTTAACAAAATATTTTGAATCAAATAACTGTAAAAACCAGAGAAAGTTAAATACCCCCACCACAGAAAACCTGCAGACAGAGCAAATTTCTATCTGCTGGGTTGGATTTTCATTAAACAATGTTTCCTTAAAATTGTCAGATTAATTTCCTATTTAAAAAAACTTTTGCTTTAATGAGTATTTTTTAGGTTTGCTGCTACTGAAAAGTTAACTAAGTTGGTTTTTTGTGTAACGTTAGTAGCTTAGTCATAGTCATAGTCAAGAATCTGTATTCATAGTATACATAGTTTTACATGAATAGTGTCAAATAAGTTAAAACTAATGCTTAAAACTATGATAACGCCATTTTCAATGCGTCTAAAGAGTACAAGGACAGGTCCATTAAATATTCCTTGAGACGTTTTTTAAAAATGTTGGGTTTTTGTTCCGTTTTAATTTTCAAAGGAATAAATTTTAAAAAATCACGTCCTGCATTGACAGTCTTTTTTTAAGAGCTCTAATTTGTGTTTTCCAATTACAAAATTATTTTTGTTATGTGTATTTTAGTTATGATTATTTTCTTTAATTGGTGGATTAAAATTTTTGTTTTTGACAAACATAATACATTCAAGAACATACAAACCACAAACAGTGAGGATCCTTAAACGTTTAAAGTGTTCTTTTGCAGAATCATCTTTGTTCATTTTTAACATAGCTCTGATTGATTGCTTCTGTATTGTCAAAATTTGGTCTAGATTTGAATTTGAGGTATATACACATATGCCATAAGATATATGGGATTGAATATGGGAAAAATAAATCATGTTTAAAACTTCAATACTGCATAGTTTTGACATTTTTCTAATCGCACAAAGACCGGAATTTATTTTATTGATAACAAGTTTACAATGTTTGTCCCAAGACAAGTTTCTGTCCAATGTCAGGCCAAGGAACCTTACGGCTTCTGTTATTTCAATTGGTTGGTTATTTACTTCAATATTATGATTGGAATTGTTTTGAATGTGACACATTTGGTTTTACTTTCATTTAATTTTAAATTGTTATTATTAAAAAAATCCTCAATACAAGCTATTTCTATTGTGGATGGTAACATCTTCTGCAGTTTTCCCAAATACTTAAAGATTAGAGTCATCTGCATAAAAATACAAACCTGTACATGGGGCAAAATTTAGACACTTTTTAAAATTTGTTAAGTAACAAATGAAAAGTAAAGGTCCCAGGACCGATCCTTGAGGTACACTAGATCTTATTGTGCCCATATTTGAACTGTATTTTGATTTATAACTGTCTTTAGTGATGTGAGTTATTTCAACAAACTGTTTTCTATTTGATAAGTATGATTTAAACCAATTAAGAGAGTTATACCTGATTCCAATTTTTTCTAATTTAAAAAGTAATAGTTCATGATTAACGCTATCAAACGCCTTCGATAAATCCATGAACACTCCCAACACGTGCTCACCCTTGTCAATTGACTCAATGACTGATTTGACAAAGCTAACAATCGCTGTAATAGTGGAATTATCTTTCCTAAATCCGTGTTGGATGTCTTCTAGGATTGAATTTTCTTTAGGACGAAATAGTAAATAAATTTGCCAGATTTTATCAACATATATCCTTTTATAGCAACTAGCAAACTACAAAAGTTGATTTATTCCCTATAAGAATAACATGGGAATTTTTAATTTAGTTTGATGGAATTTTCTTGCCATGGAACGTACGCTACAACAACGCTTTGATATACTAAATTGTTTGTTCTAACCCATTCCCCCCTTGAGACCTGCGGCGCCCATCTTAGTGGGTAGGTTATGAAAGACTAAAGACAGGCAGCGTCCGTCCTCACGCATAATGCATTATTATTGACTTGCCTTATTTTTATAGTTAGTTGAAAAATTAATATAATCGTGCTTAGAATATAATTTCCCATTTATTTCAATACTCACAATACGGATCAATAAGGATTTTATACACGTCGAATAAAGTTTTTTATGTAAGGAATTGAATAATATTTTTTAATTTGACCAAGAAATAGATTGAAAAAAGTGTGTTTAAGGTTTAAAGAAATTTGTATATCAATCTTACATTTTTTTAATTTTCCTTATACAGGGTGTCCCGGAACTCTCTACCAATATTTTAGGGCATTGATCCTGGGTAAGAAACGTACCTAAATATCATATTCAAATTTTCCGGAAGTCCTTAGTTACTCACACAGCCTCCATTTTGTTTTTTTTTCAGTTATTAATTTTTTTCTAAAGAATGGCTAAACATACGAAATGGAAACTTTGCACAAACATTTATGACAACTAGACAAAGCTACAAAAAAATTATGACGATTTTTCAAATTCATAAAACAAAATGGCGGCCATTTAAAATTTTCTTTCTTAAATAACTCAAAAACCATTGATTTTACAAATATTTTAAATGGCCGCCATTTTGTTTTATGAATTTGAATAATCGTGATAATTTTTTGGTAGCTTTGTCTTGTTGTCATAAATGTTTGTGCAAAGTTTCCATTTCGTACGTTTAACCATTCTTTAGAAAAAAATTAATAACTGAAAAAAAACAAAATGGCGGCTGTGTGAGTAACTAAGGACTTCCGGACAGTTTAAATATGATATTTAGTTATGTTTCTTACCCAGGAGCAATGCCCTAAAATATTGGTAGAGAGTTCCGGGACACCCTGTATATTAAAACATTGTACATTGGGCTTTTTTTACTCAGTTCTAACTGCATGATACTTGACAAATAACTCAGTCAGGAAAGGGTTAAGCTCTAAAAAATTGTTTGGAAAGAAATGATAAACTTTCATGTTTTAAAATTGAAAACTCTCTTTTATACCCCATTAACTCCCCCCCCCCCCATAAAACCCTGTTCCCATAGTCAAATCAAGCTGGTACACGAACTTGTTAGAATTAATGTAGGTATAAGTTTGTACCAAATTTTATCGGAATCGGATAATTACTACTCAATTTATGGTGCTAACGGACACATACATAAATATGAATTTTAAACTATTCGAGGTATTCGGGGAATAAACTAAAGTGATCCCCTTGTAAAGGGAATTAAAATAATAGAGAGGGAAATAAACAAACTAATTAAAACAGTCTCTTAGAAATAAAATAAAACAACCTCCTGCTTGAAGCCGCGTACTTCAGCTTTGGTGTAACGAAATTAGGGATGGACGAGATTGGATTTTTATTTCGAGACGAGACGAGACGAGATTTTTTATTTCTCATAAAATTTCGAGACGAGATCGAGACGGGATTTCCCTTCTCATACACAACGGGAAATGCACGTTTAAAATTTTTACCTGATTTTGTTACATTGTTAGATGACTGTCTAAATACAAAAATAATGATAATAGGCAAGAATATTTACAATCTTTTATTAAAAAACATCAGCATAACATTTTTTTATTAATCACGCCTAACTTATTAAAAATGCCTATGATTAGGAAACATAGTGATATCAGTTAGGATAGAGTTCAACTTATCCTAAAATAAAATAAATCATAAAATAAAAGCAATATTAATTTTTATAAAATAGTTACTTGTTTTGACTTTTTATAGTAATAAAACATTCCTCACACTGCTTACACTTAACAAAACTTCTCAAATGTCATTAAAGTAATATTATTAAAATAATTAAAGTAATATTTACATTTAAAGAATTAATTAAATGAGAACGCCTTCGCAAAGGAAACGCAACTACAACACGCTCCTGTATTGCGGGTATTGCATTGACTTTCTGCAGGCGTTTTCAATTTTTTTTTTTTTTTTTTTTTTTTTTTTTTTTTCTCGTCTCGATAAAAATTTTGGCCAAAAAGAAATCTCGTCTCGTGTAACGAGATTTAAAATTTCCCGAAATTTCGAGACTTGACCATCCCTAAACGAAATAATGTTTTAAAAAGGGATACAAAAGGATATAACTCAGCACCGAGCTATGAGTTATACATTACGGCAAACTACAATATTCTTATGGAGCTTAAAAAAAAAATAATTCTGTATATTGAAGTGTTGTTATACAATTAAAGGTTACAGATAAAATAAGAACAACTAGACATTTAAATACCTATGTTAGAAATAGAAATAATTAGTCTTTGAAACACTAAACAACAGTTCTAGGTTAGGTTAAATCCAAGTGTTAAACAAAATGGGAAACACTGTACCAGCTGATTGTAGTCAAGTGTTGCCAACTTATTTTCAAGCGTACAAGTATTATGTGCCTAATAAAAGCACACTGTTTTGTGTTGTTTGGTTGGAATACTAGAGTGCGGCAAAAGTAAGTAAATGCAGCAATAATTAGCTATTTCGCATGGTATTATCAGTACAAGAAAGCCCGCTTTGTCAGGTAACTGTAGGAAAACATCCTGGTACTATTTGGTAAAAATAGCACTTTTATCCTCCCCTTAGTAGCAAACTAAGTACAGTACTCGTTAAATCTAATGCTATTAAAATGGGGAATAAATACGTCTTGTTAATGGAAAGGTTTTATTAAAAATCCAATCAGATAAATTGAAATTTGCTTGGTCTGAAGGTTTGCTGCAGCGGGCTATTTAATAATTTAAATCATCATAGATTAAAATTTTACGAGAAAAAACCAAGTTTCCATGACTCAAGTCCTGTGATCTGACCAAAAGGGTCAACTAGCAAAAATATCCTTACTCAACACAATAATTAGTCACCTATAAGTTTTAGAAATCAAACGTATATCCTTACCGCCTTGATGCCACACACTACTGTGGTATTGCCTATCTTGACGATCGCCGAGCCCTCGGCTGTGCCAATAGTCCCGACATTGATTGTCACTGGCCGAAATTCTAGCAGCCCTCGACCATCTGGCCTAATGTCTTGCGACTGTGCAATACACTTTAATTGTCAAGAAATTTTCGCAAAGACAGACTATTAGTTTAACTTGATGATAGGCCAACAGTTATGACAGGTTTACAAGCCTACCTAAGATGTTTCTGACATAAGGATGAAATTTCATGATCTAAATCAAAATCAAGAGGAAAAAGATTTGCCTGATTTGACTTGATTGATTTTTGGAGTTTTTTGGATAAATTGCTTTAAGCTAGAAGACTTTTGTTTTTTTTTACCTAAAATAAAATTATGTTCATTTAAAGTTATGTTCATCCATCAAAAACTCTTTAAAACACCATAATCCAACAATAATGGTCTTTGTAGAACAGACATTGCTTAAATAATGAAACTAAAATACAAAATAACTTGGACATCCCTTAAGAGGGTTCCCTACCCCCATTGAAAAACGTCAGAAAACCGCTTCGCGCGGTATCATATAGCGATTCTAGTTTTAACATTTAAATTGTGGACCAAACACCATTTTGTACATAAAGAGTGGTTCTACTAAGTTTGCTTTTTAAAAAATGTCTATGCTTACGCAATCAAGGGCAACGACTTGTCAAAGTTAGTGAACTTTACAGTTAAAGTTAAAGTTAGTGAACTTTACAGTTAAAGTTCACTAACTTTGACAAGTCGTTGCCCTTGATTGCGTAAGCATAGACATTTTTTAAAAAGTAAACTTAGTAGAACCACTCTTTATGTACAAAATGGTGTTTGGTCCACAATTTAAATGTTAAAACTAGAATCGCTATATGATACCGCGCGAAGCGGTTTTCTGACGTTTTTCAATGGGGGTAGGGAACCCTCTTAACTTACTTATAGAGGAGAGGGTAAGATGAGAACTATTTGAGATTCAGAGTTACAACATTATAAAAGACACATTGTTTATAAATCTCAAATGTTTATCATGACAGAATATATTTCATTAAAGCTACTTTAACAGTTTTTTTTAGCTTTAATGACAACAAAATGTTTAAAACTGTAGCCAGAACACAGCTTAAAAGCACATGCCTTGAGATCATAAAAATATTTGTAGTAAAAATCTTACATACAATAACACAGGAAACAAAAAGAAAGATAAATCTAATACGACTTATTAACCATATTATAACATGTCTAATATTTATAAGCATATCTAATATAATTTAACATATTAACCAATACCAAAGTTAAAATGTTCTACAAATATACAAGTATCGATGATGTAGGTATAGAAAAATTACCAGTCAGCTCACTAAGACGTGCAAATATTCAATTAGGGCCTATTTATATATTTTTTAGATAAAAGAATATTTGGAGTAAATAAATAATATGATTTACTTAAATTACTGATCCTTACCAAATAATCACGATAATATTTTACTGGGTGTATATTCCTGAAAAATAAACCTCATTAGTTTGTGACCTATAAAAACCATTAATGTTAACTTCAAAATCATATTTACCTGCCACGACTGTGGGTGTAGAACAAAAGATTAAAATAAATAACGCATTGCCATCCCATGTATTGTTTATAATACTTTGATAAAGGTTTTTATGTTTACATATTTAACATTGGAGCCATGCCTTGTTTGGGGTTATAAAATAAAATGCCTAGTGTTGAAGAAATTAAATCCTGCTATTACATTGTATTTTTGTTATCAACTCTTACAAGTCAATGAAATACAAAGTATGGCCAGGAAAAACAAAATGATTTCTGGTGCAATCTCTATATTATTTTGTTTTACCCTTTTTGTGTTTTTAATTCTTTTTGTTATTTAAAAAAAAAGTTCTAGTTATTTACTTATTTTGTCCGAAAATTTCTAGGCTTGCCACAGAAGAAAAATCTAATGTGCGAGGGGAGAAATTGAAAAAAAATTGTTTCATCTCAAAAGAGCTTAAACAATGTATTGGACTTCGATCGTATGAGGAATCAAAAGAAACCATCGCTGTTTTAAAAAAACAAACGAGTCAACCTATATGCCCATTTAAAGTCACTCGAACGAAAGTCGAGCTGGCACGAAATATCGTCGCTTAGCACTTTTCGGATGAAACGCGAACAATACTGTATATCGTTCCATAGCAGTTTTTGGGGAAAATAAGCTCATGATATATCGTCGTAAAGCACTGAAAGGGTTAATAGGCAAGCATGTTTCTTCAAAACCTTTTTTCTCAGCTTGTATGCATCGCAGAGAAAATCCACAAATACTGTTTAGTGTATTACTGTACTGTGTTTAGAAATATATTTTCCTGTAGATGTGCAGAATCCCTTTATAAATTAAAATAGGCCCAAAAATAAGCACAAAAATGAATTAAAAATAAAAAAATTGGCTTTATGGGTTGCTATGCTGATGACGAAATAACAACAAAATATAAACAGAATACCCCCGCCGCAGCAAACCTACCGTCTAAGCGAATTTCCATTTGGCTGAATTGATTTTCAATCGATCTATTTAAATAAAATTAGGTTTAACGAGTAGGCTACCTAGGTTTGCTGCTACAAGGAAACTAATAAAGTTTGTGTTTTAAGTAAAATAATTATTGCTTGGTAGAAAATGAATATGTTTGCTAAGTTTGAACAAAAGATATCCATAAACAAGCAAACTACAACATTTTACAATATTCTCCATAAGAATAACATGGGAATTTTAAATTTACAATTTTTTTAGTTTTCTCCGTAACCAACAACCGTACAAAAACACTTTGATATACTGAATTGTTTGTTTTTTTAAGCTCTTTAAGAAGGTTTAGAGAAAAATTGGGAAATTTTGTGTTTTGAGGGTGAAAAGTGAGAAAAACCAATTTTTACCCCATAAAACCCCCAATAAAACCCTGTTCCCATGGTCCGATCATGCTGGATCACGAACTCATTCAAGTTTATCTCGCCTTACACCTTCAAACCAAATTTCATCAAAATCGGATAAAAAATACTCAAGTTATCGTGTTCACGGACACATATATATATAAATCTATATATATACTAGCTGACCCGGCGAACTTCGTATCGCCTAAGTTATAGGTTTCCCCTAAGACAGACCGATGGAAAGAAAGTACCGTTACGTTTAATTTTCAAGATGATCTCGTTCGCATCGCTCAATCACGTCCTGGTTGAAGTTCGTTCGCTACGCTCATTCACCTTTGGGTTGGAGCTCGTTCGCTACGCTCACTCACCTTTAGGTTGGAGCTCGTTCGCTGCGCTCACTTGCCTTCAGGTTAGCTCGTTCGCTACGCTCACTCGCCTCCAGGTTGAAGTTCGTTCGCTACGCTCACTCACCTTTTGGTTGCAAATTAGCTGTTGTCATAAATGTAAAAGAAATAATAGTGCTGCACCCTGTTGGTAATCCTTGTAACTTTAATGCTATTGAACATCATAGAACAGAACCAACTTGTTTAATTGAAACAGCTGTTAAGATTCATTAATTCCATTTCTCATAAGGTTAACATGGGAAACTCCAGAGCTACTGGGGCGGAGCCCTTTTAAGAATTTCGAAACGGGAAATAGTTTACGTCCGATTCGCATACCTACAGAATTTACACACCAAATTTCATAACGATCGGTGAAGTCGTTCCGGAGGAGTTTGCAGACAAACACTGTGACACGAGAATTTTATATATTAGATATATATATATGTATATATATATATATACATATATAAAAATTTGAACGAATGGTGTTTTTGGCCTCTGGGGACATCAAAATGAAAAAGTAAATCGGTCCCGGGAATGAGTCTTACCATGAGACCTACGGTAATAGCTACTTCCCTATAGGGAAATTCGCTAAAATCTAAACAAATGGAAGATAAACGGTATCAGCAATCTGACACATACTTTCTCCCATTAGCTTGTCAACAACCATTTTCATGGGTAAGCGATGAGAGTAACTATGGTATTTAATACGTAAAATCTCAAAAGTTTCACTAACTTTTGAACAGTAATTTTAACAGGAATGAAGGGATGCACTATTTTGTTTAGAATTATAAGGACCATAACAGAAAAATGTCAATCAGAATCAGTTTTTCGTCAAAAATCCATTTTTCCGTTTTTTAAATGGGTTTTTATGGGAAAATAACATAAGTTACAATAACTTTTGAACCATGATTTTTATACAGAAATGGGGGGTTGCACTATGTTGTTTGGAATTATAAGTAATACCACATACTAATTTCAATCTAATTCGGTTTCTTTAGAAAATACAATTTTCTTTTATTTTATGGGTTTTTTATGGGAAAATAACATAATTTGCAATAACTTTTGAACCGTAATTTTTACAGAAATGGGAATTCTACCATTTTGTTCAGAATTTAAAGGGCTACAACATACTAAATTTTCATCAAAATCGTTCGGGTCATTTTTGAGAAAATCCTGTTTTTCCGTTATTTTAGGGGTTTTTATGGGAAAATCGACATTAAAATCGAAATTTCAAAATTTTTTTTTAAAACCCCTGGAGATACTATGGATTAGTACCTACATACCAAATTTCATCAAAATCAGACTACAGGTGTGGTCTGTAGCTCTGTACACATCCAGACACACGGACAGACACACCCACACACACACAAACATCACTTCAAAAACCACTTTTTTGGGTCCAGTGGGACCCAAAACGGATCCACTCAAAACTCAATTCCAATCACATGTTTTATTTTCAGGGTGGGGTAAAAATAGAGAAGTCTGTAAATTACATATTTTTGGTTGAGTTTTTGACCACTAGACGATCTCTAGTTCTTTTTATTAGGCTAGTTAGCTTTCACTTTTTCTCCTTCAAACAATGAATTTTCTTTACGAATGAGTTTGTGTGTTTTAGCGAATTTTCCATATAGGGAATAAGCTATTAAACCGTATGTCTCATTGTAAGACCTGGACTAGTGACTCATTTACTATATCTTGTTGAGGACCCAGAGGCCAAACACACCCTTAGTTCAAATTTAACAGCACGACCCAGCCACGATCCTTGCATTGTTGTCCTCACTCCTTCTTTGTTGCTTCAACTACCATTCCCGAAGTTTTGTCTACCATAAATGGGTTGAAAAATAAAAATTCAACAGGTTTTGATCAAATATCTGTTCAACTTTTAAAAACTGACTCTAAAATCCTAGCGCCTGTTTTAGTCCACATGATTAATCTTAGTTTTGCATGTGGTACATTTCCAGAAAAACTAAAACAAAGTATCATAGTGCCCATTCATAAAAAAAGGCTTGTCAAAAAGATTAGACAATCTCAGACATATTAGTTTGCTCTCAGTTTTTTCTAAAGTTTTTTAAAAAATTAATGAAAATCAGACTTACAGCATTTTTGGATGGTTTAAATTTTTTTAACAATCTCAATTTGGTTTTAGGAAAGGAAAGTTGGCAGAAGATGCCCTAATTACAGTCACAGATAAAATTTATCAAAGTTTAAATAGCAAAAACAAGGCAACAGGTTTATTTGTTGATTTAAAAAAAACCATTTAATCTAGTTGACCATAATCTTTTATTATCTAAATTAGATGCTGCTGGTATAGAGGTGTAGCTAATAATTGGTTTTCTTTCAAACAGAATACAGCAAACAAAGATCTTAGACCAACTAAGGTCTCCTCTACATGTCAGGACAAGTGTTCCCCAGGTATCAGTTACCTCTGCACTGCAACCCTCTTCCTCATATTTATAAATGACCTTCTCAAGCTTCTGTCCATGGACAGGTTTGTGCTTTTGCTGACGACATTGCGTTTTTTTATTCCCAAAAAGATATTTACAAGATATTTTCAAAAGCGTGATAGCTCTTTCCCGTTATTTTCTCAATTAATAATACTCCCAGTTCAGCACTTATATATATTTTTAAGATTCTAAAACTCTTCTATGTAAGCAGTGGAAATACTGGACAAGCAATCTTTTGTATAATACATGCCCAATGTATATACATGCCTAATGGTTACGGAGAAAATTCAAAAAAGTGCAAATTTAAAATTCCCATGTTATTCTTATGGAGAAAATGAAAACTGTTGTTTACTTGTTTATGGATATAACTTATGTTGATCAAATTTGGCAAATTATTTATTTCATCCTATACTAACTTATTGATGTTTGGTCAAAAAACACAGTTTACCTTCTCCGTAGCAGCAAACCTAAGCACTCGTTAAATCTACTGTTATTTAAATTGGGGAAAAAAAAGTCTTAACTTATTTATGGGAATATTTTTGTAAATAATATAGGCTAATCAGAAAAGTTGAAATTCGCTTAGTCTGCAGGTTTGCTGCGGCGGGGGTATTTCTTCATATTGCAACATTACCATTAGTAGGCTACATTGACGTTAACCATGTAATAAACATTTACATTTAAAAAACCCCAAAATTGCACTATTTTTGTTTGATGGTAAAAATACCATATATACCTGCACCCTAATGCTAACCAATGCTATAACTTAGGTGGTCGCTTTCAAAGCAGCTGAACTATAGGTCAGAGTGTTTTCCTAGGAATCATACGCCAAACCCCGCCAGTGGGATTCAGACTGTAGGTCGCGCTGACTCATTCTAGAGGAGTCTATGTCGCAGTCCGCATCGGGATAGAGAGAAGTTGACTGCAAAAGAAACTTGAAGCCGCACCCCATGTAGTCTAGGAAAACAATAGTATATCTTTGTCTGCGGTGCAGTCTAAAAATGCTTTGAACGCGGTGTATACCCCCCCCCCCCCCCCCCCAACTAACACATCTCGCAATCGTGCATCACTAATTTGATTTGACAAACAGACCTAGGCCCTAATATAAATCTAAACAAAAACATGAATCCTACTGGTAACTAGGCCTAAATTAGGAGAGTAGGCCTAGATATAAAAAAGTACCGGTACTCACTTATACAAAGCCGCCATTAGTTTTTTTTATGTGGTTCGAGGTTTTTGTGTTTATAAGTTGAAAGCTTTTCGTTTGTTTATAAAAAGCACATCAATTAATAACTTTAACTTTAAGTTTGTAGGCAGGGAGGACTGAGGAGTTTATTTAGGTTATGTGTTTGTTTTACTGATTTTTTTTATAGAAAGAGTTTCATGGCTAGCTTAATGTGACTCCATGAAGCTTATAGAGCGGAGGCTGGCGTTTACCCCCCCTCCCCCCCCCCTTGGGAATTTTCGACATATACATTTTTTGGTTTGTATTGACATGTACTTTAAGGTTTTAGGTGTTTGCCACTTGTGAATGTGAATTACAGCATGTTCCGGAAAACACGAAAATATCATGAATATATATATTTAAAAAAATGGTTTTTCTTTAGCGAGTTCGTTTGGCTCTACAACCCGACCGATTTTCATGATTGAGGTCTCAAATTGAAGGTATTAACGCACAGATTTCACATCAAGCATCGGCATATAGTTGCCTACAGTCCCACTCGGCTTATACGTAAACAACATTTTTTCCCATGTATTTCTTATGGGAGTTAAATTTGGTTTTTCTTTTCCGAGTTCGTTTGGCTCTTCTACCCACCCGATTTTCATTATCGAGGTCTCAAATTGAAGGTATGCACGCACAGATTTCACATCAAGCATCAGTATATATTTATCAACAGTCCCACTCGGCTTATACGTAAATTAAATTTACCCCCCATGTATTTCTAAAGGGAGTTAAATTTATTTTTTTTTCTTTTCCGAGTTTCTTTGGCTCTTCTTCATGATTGAGGTCTTAAATTGGTAGTATGCACACATATATTTCACATCAAGCATCATCGTATATTTATCTACTTTATTACTCGACCAAAAAACATAGGTTTGATATATTTTTTAATTTGTATTTCAATTTAAATTGTACAGTATTTTACCATTTGTAATTATATAACCCTATATATTTTGGTCTAAGAACCTTCAGTGAAATACCGGCTTGCATTTAAGATATTAGTTATTCAAATCGGACGGTTTTCAAGCAAACGCAAGGTGAACATCCAACATAAAAAAAAATTATAAGGTTTTTCTATGATTGAATATCAATAGCTCCAGTATTGTTTAAGTTTTTTTATATGTTTTAGACTCAAAATAATTAGTCAATTATAGGCTTTAATTTGAGCTATTGATCGTTTGATCGTTTGAATCAGTTAAGTTTAAGATACTGTATTACACAATCAAAAATAATCAATTTGATTATTTCTCGGATATGATATTTATTTTAACGCCGCAGTGCAGCATGGGTCCTTTAGTATAGGTTTTTTAGTTTGTTTTGATTTGATTAGTTGATTCCTGTGCGTAGGACGGGCCCACAGCAAGTTAGAATTAAAAAATGCAAGTATGGTGAAGTCATATTGTTCTCAGTGACATGCAAGCAAATGAAATGAAAATAACTGAGCAAAGTATTTTGCAAGTACTGTACTTGATGCTTTTGAACAATGCATTATTCTGCTTGAAGTTGAAAACTGTGATCAGAATTCCTAGATGGTCTGTTTATCAGCTGGAAGACCTGTACCCGAATCGGTGGAAGACAATTATACTCAATGCAGATAATATAGGGAAAGCTGCATGCAAACAGATTAGTTGAGATAAGAGCAATAAAAAATATTTTTCTGGAGTTTTACTGCTGTCCCAAGAACGTGATATTAACCTTGAGAAGCTGATGACATACCCATTAGATCCAGTACCATGGGCATCAGCCACTGTCGATGGATGCCCAACCAAAACAGAAAAGGCCAAACTGCTCCATGCTTTGGAGAACAAGGGTATAGACGAACCTCTCAAGATTGAATAATGTATGTATGTAATTGACGGTATGGCTTACTTTTAGGTTCTTACTAATATTCCAGAAACCTCTGGTGAACTAGCACAGATTGCCTTCAGCCGTTTTCCGAAACTCAGCAGGATATACTTCAATGCGGATACATATTTAGATGTAACTATTAAAACATTGAAAGAGAGAAGAGGATTTGGAGAAACGTTCTTAATGAGATGTCCAAAATCAAGATCCCACGGGATTGGAAAAAAATCCTAGCTAATGGTTAAAATTAAGAACAATGGGTTAACATGCTAAATAATGAATGGTCTCAGCACAAATATTCATAAATTCAAACAAGCTTCAATACACGTTTCTAGGGTAATGTAAGGTTGTTTTTGGTGATATTTTGAAATTCACCCCCACCCACAAACAGGGTTGAAATTTTCTAAATGGCAACCCATATCAATCGGCACATTATTTTAAAGAGATTTAAAAAAATAAAATTATTGCCGCAAATCCGATTTTGATACGAGGAAAACGAAGTTTTAGACGTTAATTTTACTGGAACCTTACATTCCAGTAAAATTTACGTCTAAAATGTCTCAAATAAAATTTATTTAATTTAATTAGAATCTCTTAAAATTGTTTTCCTAGAGGTACTCTTTAAATCTAATGTTATTAAAATAGATTTAATTGAAAATCAATTCAGGTCAATTGGAAATCCGCATTGCCTGCAGGTTTGCTGCAGCGGGAGGTATTTTTTTAACTTTTTTATTTTCATTTGAAGCCTTTGAATACATACTGAAGAAGTCCATAAAAAATATTTCACCAGTAATTAACGAAGGCTACCCTTATGTAATTTTAATAAAACGGTTTTTAAATTGAACAGTTTTTCTTTATTTTCCGAAATACGCTGTAATTTAAAAGAGGCAAACAACTGAATTCTTAATCTGGTAGGTAATACCAAAAAAAAAAAGTATAAGTCATAAATTCCCACGGGAGGGGGGAGGGTTTCATATTGGCGGCTCATGGTCTATTAGTATGCACCATTGTGACTGAACAAAGATTAAAATAATTGTAAATCATAAAATGTGTTGTCCGTCAATAAGGAACAAAGAATATCCCAATGGTGTGGATACTGTACTACAAAGATACTCTGAATAAAAACGTACTCCTGCACGTGATGTTTGGCGTTATATATTAACTAGATGTACCCGCGGGCTTTGCCCCGTTTTACTTCATAAGTGAGCTCGTTCACATGGCTCAATCACGTCCTGGTTGAAACTCGTTCGCTACGCTCACTCTGGAGCTCGTTCGCTGTGCTCACTTGCCTTCAGGTTAGCTCGTTCGCTACGCTAACTCGCCTCCAGGTTGAAGTTCGTTCGCTACGCTCACTCAGCTATACCCGTGGGCTTTGCCCCGTTTTACTTCATAAGTGAGCTCGTTCGCATGGCTCAATCACGTCCTGGTTGAAGTTCGTTCGCTACGCTCACTCACCTTTAGGTTGGAGCTCGTTCGCTGCACTCACTTGCCTTCAGGTTAGCTCGTTCGCTACGCTAACTCGCCTCCGGGTTGAAGTTCGTTCGCTACGCTCACTCACCTTTTGGTTGCAAATTAGCTGTTGTCATAAATTAAAAAAAAAAAATAGTGCTGCACCCTGTTGGTAATCCTTGTAAGTTTTTAATGCTTTTGCATATCATAGAACCAACTTTTTAGTTGAAACAGCTGACTAAATTGTTTAATTCCCTTTTAATATGAATACTCATAATGTTAACATGGGGAACTATAGAGCCACTGGGGTGGAGCCCGAAAGGATTTTTGAGATAAGAATATGCCTATATGTTAATCGGGAATGTGAGCTATCGATCATCATGCCAAATTTCAGCAAAATCCGTCCAGTGGTTAATGCGTTTACTTGTCACAAACATACATCCAAACTTAACTTTCTCATTAATATTAATTAATATTAGTAGGATGCTGGGTAGAATCTTTGGTTGAATACAGAATAAATTATGTTTACATCCAGAAATTATTAGGTATGTTGATGCAATATTATCATATTAATAATAATCTTTCTTGGGGTGGTTTAGATTTAGGCCATGACAAGGGTAAAAAATAACATGGTACCATAAGAAGTATAGCGCCTCGTTTTCCTCTTCCAGAAACCAATGAGACCCTCTTTAGAGAAGGAGTGGGGGGCGTGACGTCACTCTTCTCTTGAGGGAACACCATTTTATCTTATTTTTTTATATTATTATTATTATCAGCAAGTTTTGTTGGTTCTGTTAGGTCATGACAGTTTAATTTTACAATAAAAAAATGTTAAATTAATTTTATAATTAAAAATTATAAGTAGGCCTAAACCTTCATTCGATTTTTATCTTATATCTTTTTTATACTATCAGCAAGTTTGGTTTGTTGGATTAGGTTATGACAGTTTTATTTTATAATAGAAAAATTAATTTTATATTTTAAAAAATATGAAATAAATCTAAAGATTTTCTTAAATCGACGTGAGGCACGGCCACCTTTAACTACAGGCCGCGGCCTGGTAGAATTGACAACGTCGCAAGTGGTGTTGTTTAGTGACAGATGTCCCATAAGATAACATGGCAGACAGGTGACATCAGCTCATTAATTCGCACTTTATTGATTTAAATTTAAATTTATGAACATAAATGTATTAAAATATTGAAAATAGAACTTACAGAATTGAAAACCGAAACAATATGAATTACAAATATATATCTGTACATTTTAAGCGGGGTCAATATAATATTCTCATAGTCTAGTAACCAATCTTTCGTAAATACACAAATACCATTAGCTGCTTAAAAAAACAGCTGTTACAACACCACTTGCGACGTTGCCACTTCGAAGGCCGCGGCCTGGAGTTAAAGGCGGCCGTGCGCGAGGCCGAGGGGCTCTCCCAAAATCCCCCACACCTTCGCAGAAAAGGTTCTCATCAGTTCCTGGAAGAGAAAAATGAGACGCTAGTCCATACTCCATAAGAAGAGCCATTAACATGTGGCAGTCAGATCTACAGTAGTTCAGCAGTGTATAGTAACCATCGAAGTTATAACACAACTGGAATGCTAGGTACGTGTTCACGAAAGCGCGCCGTTGTGTCAGCCATCCCGCACCACCATCACCATGTGAGACCCAGCGGATTTTAGCCAATTCATCGAACAGTGCGCGAAGTTGTTAGCTCGCTCCTAGACTTCAATAACAAAGATTAAGTACAATAATATTTATATATTCGTAATCTGCATTAAATGCAGAATGTAATGGTATAAATAAATTTTACATTTGATTTGAAAT